TTGAATTTTAATGACTTATTCACAAATGAATGAAATTATTTTAGAAATGTTTTTTAATTTTTAGAAAATTGGTAAAAATATTTTTTTGACATGTGTTACACCCCACTTACTTAATTTTATGAAAACTCAAGAAATTCAATGAGATAATTTTTAATGACTATATTAGTTAAAAGCAGAACTCCTTGGAGAATTTAATTCATCAATTTCATTCATAAAAAATCTGCTCTGAATCGTAAAATAAAAAATGTAATAAAACTAAGACATTATTTTAATTAAAAAAGTCTTTAATTATGTTTATGAATAAGATATATTAAGGACATTATTATCTTAAGAAAAAAATATTTTTTGATGAATAATGAATTTTTACAAAATTTCTTTAAATCTTTTAAAATTCAGTTTCAATGGTGTAATGGTTAGAGAACATTGTTATTAAGTAAAAACTATATTTACTAATCATAAATCGAAAAGCTTATGACAATTTAAGGTCACCTAGTATTTTAAAAAGAATTTTGAATTTTTTTGTATGTGTAAAAATGTGCCAATTTTTGTAGATATGGATATTCATACACAACATTATCAGAAAATAAGAGAAATAACTATAGTAAATTTAAAGCCAAAATACCTGAAATTCAATAAAACATTAAGCTACATAGAATATTTTCCTAAATTTTTAAGATTACTGAATATTTAAAAATTATATAAAAAAGGTGCTCACATTATATTCTTCAGTTATTTTTAATGGACAGAAGAACATTAAAATAAACATCCATAGAAAAACATTAAATAAATATCTATCTGTTATCAAGATGTGAACATGTCAACATCTTAAACAAACAGCTACTGCCATGTTAAAAAAATGCATTTTTGAGATATTTTAATCTTTTGGAAGATTTTTTTTTTTAATAAAAAGATTTACATTGAGCTAAACAAAATTTTAAAATGGTCTGGAAATCGTTTTTTTTTTTAGAAAACAACAAATTTAAATTAGTTTTGCAATAGAGTTAAGTATTTTGCTTATTGGAAATATTAAGTTGAATCTATTAGCTTGAAATTAAAACTAAAAGCTTCAAGAAAAATTTTTCATTTTAAAAATTCATTTTAAAACTTAGGTATTGCAAATCTATGGAGATATCTATATTTTAAGTATCAAATTTAAAAGGTTTCAAAATTGACAAAATCATGATTTTGTCATGACAAGTTCTTCTAGAAAAATCTTTTTAAGCCTTGACAGAAGTTTGTCCACAAAACAAAACTTCTATCACATAATCTTCAGACTTGTTAGTATATATGGTAAAGATATAAAAATTTTCTTAAACTGTGTAACTGGTCTGCTGATTTTGGGAAAATCAAACGATTTTCAAATAGTAATACTGACATTACTATAACAGGAATGAATAGGGTTACTGCATAAAAATAATCTATTAGCTCATGAATAACATTAAAACTAATTTGGATGTTGTATCTGACAAACTTTGTAAATGAGAAGTTCTCAAATTAAAAAGCATCTTTTACATTTTTAATTTTGGACATTTTTCAGGTCCTTATGAAAATAAAAGTGCATAAGACACAACTAAGCTTCTTATTTTTCTGTAATCTACTCTAAATATGAACTATTTTCACTAAGTTTCAAATCTATAATTGCAATATTCTTGAATTTATGAATGTCAGAAATTTGTTGAAAGCTTTATTTAGCAAAAACTGCAGGAAATTTCCAAGATGCTCTGATTTTAAAACTATTAAAGATACAGCTCTAATATTTGGAATTTATCAATAAATTTGATCAATGAATACCAATGAATTTTCCCAGATTTTTCTGAGAGGGTCCCCTGTGGCTATTAGTTGATTTGAGATGGAATGACCTATACACTTTAACATATTCACTGTAACCTCAGATATTTGATTCCTTACATAATGCCATCTGTGTTTTTATTAGAAATATATCATTGTAAATTGTGATATAAAATTACATATGTTTTATTTTAGTAAATAAAATTAAATTTATTAAACTATAAAGAATGGTGCTAATGTACATCCTTTGCAATGATTTAGATTTTTTTCTCTATAGTGCTATGTGATACATTTGTGTCATAGTTGCTTTTCTTTTAGCAGAAAGCAAGGAGTTATAAATTTCTAATTTTTGGAATGCTGTAAACATTCATATGAGATTAGTGAATACTTCTAGAAATGCTGTACAATAAGAAGTCAGTAGAGTTAATAACAAAGAGAAAAAGCTGACTTTAGTTACAGGCCCCATAGTGACAGGTTTGCTTCTGCTGTGAATGATGATAAGGCCAAACAGGCTGATACTTTCATTAGAACTGACAGAAGAATCACTATTTTAAAATGCTGTGAAAGCCTTCAGATGAGCTGTGGTAGTGACTGCAGTTTAGTTTGGCTATTCAAAGCTCTGTGTTAAGTGGGTTCACAGAATGTTAGCACCATGAAGAAGAAGCAAAGTGTAGATGCTGACCAAAAGCTTCTGGAGATGTAGAACATGAATCGTACTCAGATGACAGCAGTTCTATAATGAAGATAATGTGAAAGAGGCAACTTTCTTATGGCTATGCAGTGAAGAAGCTTCTACAAGCCAGGTATACATACCCTCAGTCAAAGGTGGAACACTATGATTGAGGATTCTTTTTGGAGTTCTGAGACTTTTGTGTTCAAACTATCAAATGTATTGTAATTAAAGAAGAAAATACATTACTTTTTAAGTGACTCATATGGTGATTTTTTTAAATGTAGCTTAGATGTGGCACAAGGCCAAAAGTATTGAGCACCCAGTGAAAATCAAACTCCCTACTCAGTCATAATTGTTCTAGCGAAACAAGCTTGTTAACCATTACACAATGTTGAAGTGCCCAAACTGACCCTCATATAACTGTTAAATAAACATCATGGATTTCAAATAAAGCATAAACATCTGTCAAGATTTGAACCTGCATCCTTTATCACAATAACATTGTGTCCAAGGATAAAGGATGTGAGATCAAAGCTCATTGGTGGCTTATTCTTATTTCTGATCAAAACTGCATGGAACAATAGTCTAAAACTCCCAATAAAAACAACAGAAATGAAAGAAAAACTAATTAAAAATTAATAATTACCTGTGTTTTTTTTACAGCTATGAGTTTTCAAAAAGTGGATTACATCAGTATTTTAAATTAAGTTACCAAATTAGAAAAAAAAGTCCTAGATTACCACATTGTCTCAGCCAATGCAGAGTATACCTTTGAGATATTATGAATGGAATCCATCTTGCACATTTATAAATCTACCATTCATCTGTGCACTGAATATTGCTGCCATATCTAGTCTGGTTCTTCTACTATATATCTCAAGATTCTTGACAAAATTCAAAGAAGGGTCATGTAATTGATCTTGACCTGGCATCTTGATTTCAGTCACTTTCTTACCAATGTGACATGGCTTCCCTCTGTCTTTTCAACAAATATTTTTGTGGTAATTGTTCTGATGAGCTTTTTTTCTTAGTGCCTTCACTGCATGAATTTAAGCGTGCTACTAGATTAGCAACTAGGTCTCACCATTTTACTGTTGAACTAGATAAATGCAATCATATATTTTATTCTAATAGTTTCTTTTCTCACACTTCTTGCCAGTGGAACTCCTTCTGATTTCTTGCTTCCCTGCCACTTACAATCTTCAAAAATTTAAATGTGCCATCAATCACCGTATTCTGTCTTCCTGAATCTTGTTCCTTTATTGTCCTTCCTCCTCACTCTAGTCTTCTCATTCTCTTTCACTCCCCATAAACCCTTGCGTCCTCGTGGCATTACCGCCTTGCTTGGGGTGAAATGATTTTTAAAAAAATTTATTTAGTGAAAATTACAAAAGAATATGTACCTAAACACTATTTTAATAAAAAAACATAGTTTTTATCATAATATACAAGATAATATAAAAATTGACATAATAAAAAAAAATGAAAACAAGAAATCTATGAATATGAAGAGTTGGGTTTAGCTAGAAAATACACAAGGAATATGAAACTAGGTATTTAGAAACATCTAACATGAAAGCTTCTCTTTGGCAGCCATTCAAGTTGTTGTTACTAAAATTGTTTGATACTGTAGACACTAGGTTCCAATGGACAATAGTTTTTTTCTATTGATGTATAATTTATAATATTCACAAATATTTTTGCTATTGCATCTCTCTTCCTCTTATGTCTCTAAAAATGTGGATGATCATGGTCTTCTGTAACATCCTGTTTTTTGTTGTTTTCAGTCATATTTTCTCCTTTATGATTCTTCATCTTCGTTGTACTTGTTCTTATATCTTTTTGTTCAAACTTGTCAAGTAGATTGCTTACTATTTTCTTCTACTTTTTTTGTCTACTGTGTTTATTATATTTGTTGTAACAGAAAATGAATAACTTCACTTTCATCATATGTTTAGGTTTTATTAAAATTCTAATTGTTGCTTTTTAAATGACAAACATTGCCAAGGAGTGAAGGTAGTTAAATAATAGCCGTGTCAATGGAAAAATTGTCTTTTTGACAATCCATAATTGGTTTCTTTAAAGAATATATGTATATGACAGAACCCAACAGGACCATATTTAAATACATGGAACTTTTTAAAAAAATTTTTTATTTTCATAGAGAAGAAAATAAAAATATCCAAAAATTATGAAATATCCCCAGTTAATTTTTTTACATTTAGCACAATGAAAATTGTAAAGAAATTGAATTAAAAACATTGTTTCTATATTCTTACTAAAACTATATCTATATGGATATTCTAATTACAAATAAGGATTTAAATTTTAAAATAAATATTTTAGAAAGATACACACACACATACTCACACACATTGGCTCTACTCTAAATTTCAGAGAATTTGACCATGAAAAGAATGACTACTAATAAATTCAGTGTTGGACTAATGGTTAATAGAATGAAAAATATAATCAGAGGACTGAGTTCTCAAAAAGTATGTTTTACAAAGGGCAACAACAAAAGTCCTTTACTACATAGGTTTGTGCACAATGTTCACATTCCCTAAACTTTTGTCTATCTATCTATCTATCTATCTATCTATCTATCTATCTATCTATCTATCTATCTATCTATCTATCTATCTATCTATCGAAACTTGCTTGAGGGTTTAGTGTTATTAGTAATATTGTATGAGGGGATGCTGAAAAATTCTTGGCCTGACCTTCTTCCTAAAATCAAGCCAAATGACCATATCTCAAAATTTTTTTGAGGGAAAGAGCTTTTTGAGAACTTTTCAGCTCTCCACAGATTCCTTTTCTTTATTATCTATAAATTGTCATGACATTGAAAATGATAGTGGTTTCCTGTTGCTTTCTTCATTACTTTGAATTCAGTTTATTCCTTCTCCTAGAATGGCAGTTACCAAAGGCTAGATAACCCAGTCTACCCTGCTATAGCTAGGGAAAGAAGAGATGAATTTCTGCCTTTCCCAAGGGCATTAATGTGAAAGTGGATGCAATAGACTATACTGGAATTTGAACTAGATTCACAAATTTCACCTTTTATGCAATAACTGTTATGCTACCTGTACACCATGATGAGAATTAGCAAATTATAATTAACTAAATTGATTCAAGCAATTTTTGATGAATATAATTTATTACATTTTATCAAAATCTAAATGTTATTTGTCACTATTATAAATGTTCTGTTAGTAAGTTGAATTGATATTACTTATTTATACTTATATATTAATTAGTTAAAATGCAAAGACAAAACAATGCTTAAAGTAGGCATTCTAATAGTGTAAGCATGTAGAATATTACAATTTTCTTAGATAACTTTAAATATCTTGCATATATAAATCTAACCATATGTGCCTGCATTTACTTGTATTGTCCAAATTGTTAACATTCTTTACAAGAATGACTCCAGGCATGAGTCATTGGGATAGCATTTTGTGTCTGGCAGCATTGGTTGCATCATTCATATGCTTTTATACTAGGTTTGCTTTTAGTAGTTGTAGTACTAGTTGTTGTTGTGATGGTTATAATAGTAGTGGTGGTAGTAATAATAATTGTTGGTTAGCAGTGGCTGCATTGGATTTAACAGAGCTTGGATGCTTATTGCTTGTTTGGGAGTAGTCATCTCAACATTTTTATGCAATTTATTACAATGGATTTATCACAAATGTAATTATAAGAGGATAAATATTTTTTTATTGGATTAATTCCTGTCTGGAATTATATACAAATGAATTTGGATTTCAAGGAACATTTTAAAATTCCCTTTCATTATTCTATTACTAACAACAACCAATTGTAAGTTTAGAAAATTATAGTGAAACATTGTGAGAAAATATCCTATTATAATTGTGCTTGTTTCTTTCTTTGTTAGTTCACATGACCGTTATATGCTCTGTCAATACCTCATAAATAATGAACTATTCTGCTTTGATCACATGGAAAGAGGGGAAATGGCAATACTTGGTTTTAATAAGAAAATGAAAGAAAGGAAGGTAGAAATGGAGAGAGAAAGAATTAGATTAAGCTGACAAGAACAGATACTACACTTTGATCTTAGCCAAAAGGCTGAGAAGCAATATTATTTTTCAGTGTGCTTATATCACTACTGAATGTGACACAAGGTCAAAGTTTAGAGTGGCTTTACTGACTATACTGTGGAAAAATTGCCAAGCCCCTTCAGCACTTCTACTTTTGCAGATGCCTCAGGTGCTGGTTAATAAACCCAGCCCTCTCCTGAAGGAGAGGTACTGCCTAGGGAAAAGACAAAGGCTTGGGCTTAAAATTTTTGAATCTCCCTGATCCCCGAAAAGACTGAAAAGTGATATTGACCACAATAAAAGTGCCATTTTTCAAACACACAGTATTGAATGACAGTAACCAAGTAAGGCAATTGCCAATGATCCAGTTACAATAAATAAAATAACATCATCTGCTGAATTGTCTTTATATTATTATTAAGAGAAATGTTTGTGAGACAGGGATTTGGCTAGTAATAATTATTGCTATTAAAATTTCAAAATCATCAATAGTCCTTTTATTTAATTCAAGTGTTTTATGACTGATGAATAATTTTTTTTAATTGAACAACTCTAGAACAGAAATTTTTTCAAAAGCTTTTACTGGTTTCATAATCTTAGGATTAAAGCAATTGAAGTTGGCTAATAATTAAAAATCCTAGAGGTTGATATTGTGAAACTTTATAATTGATTCTTCATAAAAGTCTTCTTCTATGTGCCATGCTTCTTCAGAATGTGGACAATCATAGCTATCTACAACTTTCTATTGTTTGTAGCTCTTAATAATATTTTTTACTATCTCTCCACTCTTCTTTCTGCCATCCATTTACACAAGCTCATTAGATAGGTTATTTGCTGTTTGCTTCTGTTCCTTTTGCCTTCAGTATGTCATGTGAGTGTCAAATTTTCCAAACCTTCTTTCTTCATTATGCATCCTAGAAATTTTAGTTGTCTCTAATTCTAAGTATAAGAATCTTTCTTGTTTCCAGTTTCCTTAAAATTTTCTTGTTGCTTACAAAAATCATTCTCAAGAATAAAAATAATGTATTTTTATATTTTAAAATAAACTGCTTCTTTTTAAATTTAATATTCTATAAAAATAATAGGAGTATCTTATATCTATTTACTTATGCAAAATGTTTTGAAAAGACATTTTTCTCAAGCTTTTGAAATCTATGAAGAAGTGCTGTTTCTATTAAAAGGAAAAAATAAAATATTCCATGATTATGAACTTTATTTAAATTCTTTGTAGAATTTTTCTATTTATAACTTATTTAGAAGACAATACATTCATTTGCAAATTGTTTTTTGTTAGTTTATATTTGTCAAACTTAGATAATCCACCTAGTGTTATAGAGATAATCCAAATAATATAGGTGGATAACTTACTAATTTAGTTAAAAAAATTTTTTAATCATTTCACCCCAAGCAACGTGATAATGCCACTAGGATGCAGGGGTTGGTAGAAAATTAAAGTGAATGAGAAGACTTGAGAAAAAGTGAAGAAAAGGACAATAATAAACAGGATTTATGAACACAGAAGATGGTGACTGACGTTGCATTTAAATTTTTGAAGATTGTAGGTAGCAGAGAAGCAAGAAATCAGAAGGGAGCTCCACAGGCAAGAAGTGTGAGAAAAGGAACCATTAGAATAGAACTGACAGTTGCATGTGATTAGTTTATATAACCTATAATGTATTTGAGAACAAAGTAAAATTTAGTTGTCATAAAGGATTTTATCCTAGAAACAGCCCCAGGTGATTTATATATAAAGGAAAAATAAATAACAGAAAAATAGAATTTAGATTGATTTTTATTGTGTATTGATTTAAATTTTATTCTTGATTTTATATGACAAACACATGATATTGTAAATTTTTATTTTAATTATACACAGTTTTCAGTTTGAAAATATAAGTCACAAACTTGGGATTCCATGATACTATATTTGAAAGCTAATTAGTTTTTCAAAGTGTGCGTGAGAAATTGTGAAAACATAGACATGTTAAACAGAAATAGGAATAAAATAAAAGGAAAAAACATACAGGTTGAGAATCCTTTATCTGAAACTCTTGGGACCGGAAATACTTTAGTGTTCAGATCTTCTGGGATTTTGGAATACAGGCTATTTAATTTATTTTTAAATATCTATAAAATAGGGCAGTTTGGGAATGGGACCCAAGCATAAACACAATATCCCTTTACATTTCATAACACAGCTTATACATATACCCTGAAGGTAATTTTATGTAAATAACATATACCCTGAAAGTAGTTTTATATAAAATTTAATAAATATTGTGTACATACAGATACAGGTGATGACACTAGTCATGTAATGCTCACATGGATTTTTTAAGTGGTGAAATTAAGATTTCACATAAAAGTAATGTTTTGTATTTTCTGTATGTGTACAAAAAATATGATCACTACTTAAAAAAGATATATAAATGCAGGACTTTTTGAATATCTTTACTGAGCATGAAGCACCTGGAAAGTAATCCATGAACAAAGGTGATGATGTGATGATCACAAAAAGCTGTCACCAACATAGGCTGTGTAACCAGGCTGGGGAACCCCAACCCAGGGTGGATGAGGTCACTTGCAACAGTTGCACATCACTTAGAAACCATTTCAGTGTTTTCTGAAATTTTTCATTTGTCGTAAGTCATGTCAGCACCTAAAAAAACTTGGAAATTTTTGGAGGTTTTCGAATAAAAGATACTCAACCTGTACTGTAAACATACTTCCATATTAAATTTTGTAATATATTGATTGGTTAATAGGAGAAATGAACAGTGTAGAGTAATTGGTCATGTTTAAGTGTAATTGGCAAAATGATCAACAACAAACAGAACTGACAAATTTCCCAAACAATAAGATAAAGAAAAAAATAGTGGAAAAATAATGCTAAGTAAACAATATATATGCAAGTCAAAAGTAAGCAAAGTAAAAGTAATAAGGCAAAAAGTTCACAAAGTAAGAATATTGTTCACATGCAAAAGAGAAACAGTCAAGTGATTATAGTGTTCTAACTTTAAGACAAAAATGAACAAAAATATGGTGGATGAGATTGAGAAGTAGTTCATTTTTATTGGTTTGGAAGAAATTGTAGCATGTATCTGTAGGATTTGTCTATTTTTTTGGAGGGAGATGTTCTTAGCAGTCATTCCATAAGATTGAAACCAATAAGCTGGAACCTTAAATAATTTATATATGATTTTTTATTTTATTGTACATGAGGAATTATCATTATACATACATTTATTAGTATTGTTGTGCTTAGATTAGTTGTTTTTATATTCACAACATTTCAGTTGTACCCTCCAGCCTTCTTTAGGTATCTGCTATATTTGATTTTTGTGATGCCTCTTATACTCATTCCATTAATTATTAAAATAGTGAGAGAAATAGTATTTAACAGTATTTAATCAAGCAGAATGAGCAAAAGCATCATCACAGATAGTATGACAGACACTTGAAGAAGGCTGGTGGGTGGGGCAGTTGACATATGATACAAAAACAGCCAAGATGGAGTCTAAATTAATTAGTGTATAAGAAAGCTAAAAGTAGAATAGAATTAAAGCTAAGAAGATTAAATGGAGATTTTTTTTTTACATAAGATATCTT